ACTCAAATAAAGTCAAATGTTCTTAATTTAAGTCATTTTAACCTATATATTGTTGCTGTTTTTTGTTTTTTTCCAGTGTATAAAAAACAACTGTAATGGCAAAGGGTCATAATATGTAAGCCCTACATGTGCTTCTATGGCACACTTGAAGAAACCTGAGAGGAGCCCGGAAACTCTGAGTTTGAGGGAAAACACAAGACGGTTAAATTGACAGGATACCTGGAGGGCAGCGCTTCCTCTTTAATTTGTCTCGTACGGTTCAGGACCAGACCCCCAACCAGATGCCCTGGTCCTCCGAGTCTGCCTAAGCCTGCACTGGATTCAATTCTCACTGGTACATTCTGCTGCCATAATTAAATATCGCTTCAAAATGCTCTCTGCTGCATCTTATCGTCCCCTGGTCTTCCTTGGGTTTTTATCACATTAATAATAACAACATATAAAATGGGTGCTATCTTGAATTTGCGAGGAGAATTGCTGGCTAAACAAAGGAGCACCTATGGGCTTACAGCTTATACTAGTGATATTTTCTTGCAGGGAATGTTAACCTTGAAATGCTACTATCTGCAGTTAACAATGTGCGATCATAACCCCATAAATGAGGGGAGAAATTGAATCCTTTTAAGTTATTAAGCAGGAAAGGATTATAAACTCGTCTTTAGAAATGAGCTAGAAATCCCCATGTCTTCCTTCTGTACACTTTAAAATGTCCCACATGAAGCTGGGGAGAGAAGATTGCCCCCTTTTCATGAGAGCCCCACAAGAGATGGAGGAGAAAAAAAAACACATTTTTTTTGTACCCAGATAGGAAACGTCCCACATGGTAAGCACCACTTTAATTAATAGACAGCCTTGAGAGGTATCACTGTCACCCGGGATAATGGTGCCATAGCTTGTGTTTGTGGTTTCATGAATATTTGTGATGTGATCAAAGTCAAATGCCAGTACAGAATGAATTTAAGCCTACTCTGATTTTTTTTTTTTTTTTTTTTTTTTTAATGCTTTGGACACGTAAAGCTCTTGACACATTAAATATCTGACGTGTAACTGCTGCTAGTGTTGGTAGGCCTACAAGCTTAAACTCCACTGCTTCAAATTGACACATTACTCATTGCTAATAAGCAGAGGGCGCTGGCGTTTATTATGTTGCACGGTGTGTTACCTCCTGGAACCAATAGGCTCATTTGTTACCCTTATATAGGCTTGACATTCATCAGCAGGAATAGCCATGTGTAATTAACAGCAGGCCTACCACTATGGGGCTAAAGATGCTGAGAATGGGATCACGCTAAACTGTTCAAGTGGACAGTTAGTGTGTCACAAAGCAGATACTGACTGGGTGGAGGAAAACTATTGTTATCCTACATTTTCAATATTTTGTATGTATTTGAGCTCAAGGTTTGTGTTTAGAAATTAAAAAAAAAGATATTGCATTACAAAGAAGTATATGTTTAGTAAGAGAACAAATTGATTTTATGCACTGTGATTTTTTTTTTTTAACAACTTGATAACATACCATATGAATGTTACGTATAAAACAAAACATGTACCAATTTACATAACGTAAAGTCTTATATTTTTCTCTATCTACTATATTTATCATAGTTGCTGTTCAATAAAAGTGGCCTGGCTGGTTAGCAACAATAAACTGCATTTATCTAAACATATCTATTCTATGATAAAAGATAAAAACAGAAGTACTACACTGACAATAATACATTTTTGATGGCTCTGAGATCTGTAAAGTAATCCATCAGCGGATACTGACCACTGCTGACAATGAGGACTTTAGGAACCTAATGAACCATGAAACATTGTTAGATCAGTCATTGACAGGAAACAGACTCTTTGACTTTCTTTGTACAATCCTGACCCATTTAAATGTGTGTTACATTACACAGTTTTTTGTTGAACTGGAAGAAGGTGGCATTTCACTACGTTTGTTATATCATAAAAGGGGCTTATATGAATAACATTTTAGGATAGGAATATTTATCTTGTCTTCACGTTAAATTGATCATATATTATTATTATTATTATTATTATTATTATTATTATTATTATTATTATTATTATTATTATTATTATTATACTAGACGGCGTTATCCGACAGATGCCCCTCTCTGAGCGGACTGCAGAAGAGCGGCCTACCGATGTAAATTCCAGTGAAATGTGGCTGGAGTGGCTGCGGGGACAGGGGAGGTTAATCCGAGTTTAATGCAGTGAAGCACAGCGCAGGGTCTGGGCTGTGATGGGTATGTTATCTCTGCCCAACATTTGGGTCTCCCTCAATTTCCACCCAGCCAAATAGCTGCGAGAAAGTGCAGATGGAGTCACTCTCAATGCCTGAGGAAAAAACGTTATTAATAGCTAAATAACTTCCCCATACTTCCAGAGAATCTCTCTCTCACACTGTTCCAGATGGATTTGTTTGAAGTGGTCTCTCGCTTCATTCCCCTGTCCTTCTCATTCAGCGCGGCTTTAGACCCGAAATATAGCTACATTATATTACCATACACTTAGGAACTGTGTGCGTGCGTGCGTCACTGCGCACGACGTGTTTGTGAGGAAAGAAGGACGAGTTTTTCATCTCCCTTTCACTCTAGGCCGAGCATATTATTACTATATAGAATTTGTTTATGCTATTGACGTTTGTGCCTTTAGTGAAAATTGATAAAATAGACTGAAACATTATTGTAAAAATGTGTGCGTATACGTTCATTCCAAATCCCGTGCTGATATATTTTACATGAACCTGGGTCGCTGTGTGACTCGATGGCCTCACCTCTCGCGGCTGTCACCCTCTGTCAGGCGCGGAAATAATCCTACCTGGCACGTGTTTAATTAGAGCGAGGCTCAGGTAATCCAGCGATTTGCTGAAGTGTCCATCGCCTGTCCAGCGCGTGCGCGTGTGCCAGATGGACACAGCACCTTGAGGCGCGAAACAAAAAGATGAGCCTGGTTTGTGCAGACGCAGCCTCTCCCCAGGTCTCTGCCGCGTTTGACTTTGGAGTTAAATGCGCGCGGATGCACCGTGCACAAACAGAATAGAGGCTGGAGCAGGATCTCCGCTCAGTGACCAGCAGACAGACAGACAGTCATCAGAATGAGAAAGACTCATGCAAATATGTAGACCTATTGTGGCTGCTCTATTTGAAACTTTTGCTTCACTGATCCTTCATTAACACTTTTGGAAAAATACCAAATTCACAAAAATAACTGCACAATGTGGTGCCGCAGAAGGCAGTTAGATTAGAGCTGGGATAAATCCGTGATGTAACCTCTTAGAAAATCTAATACACCAACCTAATAAACAAATAGATAAATAAATAAAGTCTTAAAATCTGGATAAGTAAACGAAAAAAAAAATCTCATGAATTTTGTGCCGAGGGCGAGCCACTGTGAGCCTCGCTCTGAGATGAAAGTGGAAAGAAATAAAAGGCTCTATTTAATCTGCTTTAAACCCTCTGCACAGAGGGCTGCGCACAAACTCACAGAGTGAGGGGCTGATTGGGGATAAATACAGTTCGTACCGAGCCTGCGAGCTATTACAGCCACCACAAACACAGTTCCTATTCAGCAGGCACCGTTTACACTGCTTACTCTAATAAGTATTAACGTTATTAAACGCCATCGGTACTGAAACAACATTACGCACCGGGCGCCCTTTTATTTATAGTAATGCAATTCACTCCCAATTAAAACTGAAGAACATAGAGCCGAGAGTTTAAACGCTCCACATCACAAATAAATAAAACAAGTACAACGCCATCATGTTTTAGGTGCTTAAAAGCCGTGCGTAACGGCGTGTGTCCGAGTGCATCAGCCATTCCCAGACATGATTCACAAGCCGAGTCCTGTACACTTAGATTATTTGCAACAAAATGGTTAGACCTTATTCAAACATTAACGCAAGGTTTGACAGAAAAAATGAGACCGTTTTCACGCTATCAACTTATTCTGGTCCAACGGACCATTATCTGAAATTACAAAACTATGTAGCAGCGGGGCGTACTGAATAATTCATCTCCTTTTTATACCTCTCCGTGCCCTTTGTCCAAAGTTGTCTGTCTCTTTTAGCTGATTTTTTGAATGAGAATGGACGGGTCCTGCTTTTGCTTTTGTACCTCGAACCCTTCACTTAGAAAGGCGTTGGTAAAGAGAGCTTTAGCGAGTGAAGTTCATCTTCAAGTCTGAACAAAACTTACGGCACAAAAAACCTTTTTGTGAATCTTTATCTAAACCCCTTTCACACGTTTGGCCTCAAAGAAGCGAACCTTAAGAGCGTTTGAAAGCTGTGTGTTTTGACATGAAATACAATGCAGGTTGGAATTTGGAAATATAAAAAATATAAATGCAATGAAATATGCAGGACGCTGGAGCAGACCATATTTACTCAGAAATAGTTCTTTTCAAAATAAGAATTTGCATGCTTATATTAATCCCTGTGCTCTTTGTAAACTACATTTGATTGCGCATGTGTGGAGCTTTAATTATGGCACATGTGTGACATTGACACTAAACCCCAAACATGTAAGTTACAATATTTATGTGCTGCGCGTAAAGTGGCAGCCGCTGACAGCTCGTACCTGTCCCCCCTCCGCGCATCACTTTTACCAACAGCAGCGCCAATAATAATCTCTACATTGATTTCCACTTCAGCTGACAAGTGCTGAAATGTCGGCCAACTGATTGTGAAATGGGTCAACTGTCAGCTGTCGTTTAGAGCTCGTTAACCGCTGAATGAATGAGTGAATGAATGAGGGAGGAATTCGGTTTCACAAATTAATTTTCTGCCAAAGCTCTCATAAATAATTGAGAAGAATGAACAGCCCTGAGTTAGAACAGTTTAGGACGATCCCAGGAGGACAAGAGGAGGGAATACTTAAACACCCAAGTCCCAAGGCTTCCAAATAATAATAATAATAATAATAATAATAATAATAATAATAATAATAATAATAATAATAATAATAATAATAATAATAGCCTGAACTTACATTTATCACCGAGGATGCCATCGATGCTATGCTTTGTTTTCTTTTCTCCATCTTCGTCCTTCTTATCACAGTCATCCTCGTCATCTTTTTTGCCAAATCGCGCCCTCAAAACGCGGCTGATGGAGCTCACTAATGGCGACAAGAAGGTAAACGGGTGATTAGGCCTAAGAGCCATAAAAAGACCCATAGTAATCCTATCAGTGCTCCCTTAACAAAGACACAAGTTTCACAATAAAAAATAAAGAAAAAAAGCATACAATAATCGGTAGGCTATAGTTGATGTGTAATCTTAATAAATGTGGCTAGTGTGCGCGTCGGTGGAAAGTAATAATAAAAATAGTGCGGCTTACCAGAGGATGCCTCACCTGAAGGGACAGTGCTTCTGTCGCACACGCCGTCCTTCAGCAGCTTGTCCCGGATCTCCCAGCTGAACATGCCCGGGTTCTCACGCTTGTACTCCTCGATGCGCTTCTCCACGTCCGGAGTTGCCACCTGCTTTAAATCCAAACGTGGGCCGTGCGTAAAAGTGAGAGGAACAGAGACAAAATAAAAAAAGAAAATGATTTTAATAAAAATAATTTGCAAAATGTTAATACACACATTAAATACAAAGCCATATATTATGTTATTATAATAATATAATATTTCAATATTAATATAGTTTTACTATATCGATTCGAAAACAAAAATACGCGATTATTGTAAGTCATAATAAAAAAGTAAAATGAAAAACGTTTAAAACAGTAAATCTTAAAATAATCCTTGATAAAAATGTAAGTGTTTATTGGTTCCAAAATATTAAGGATGTTGTAATGTATATGTTGTATTTAAAACGATTTAATGCAATTCAAACTGATTCAAAAATAATTATAAAATGCAGGCCTATTTACATATGTATACAATCAAGTATTATTATTATTTTTATTTTTTATTTTTTTTTGTATAAATGTAGTCTTGTTACACTTTTTTAAATGTATAACATGCCGAGGCACCACGCAGCGCGCCCCACTGAGGCCCATAAGCCTCCACTCGGAGGTGCGTTCACGGCCTCACTCACCCTGGGCTTGCTGCCTCCGATGGCACCTGGACGGATGGAGCCGGTCTCCTGGTACCGGCACAGAATCTTGGAGACGCAGCCGTGAGACACGCGCAGCTGTCTCGAGATGACGCAGGGCCGGATGCCATGATGTGCCATTTCCACGATCTTGTGTCGGATGTGGTTTGGAAGCGGCCTCCCGTTGATGAAGACGCCGCCGAGCTGGTTGACTCTGCCTTGACCCAAAGGCGTGGACACTGGACAGGACAGGACAAGGGTAACCATAGCAACTGGACACACAGGTACAAGGCCGGACCACTGCTGCTCCTAATGGGCCGCAGTTTAGCACATTACCATGTTATACATTTTCAAGAGCGCGTCCTGTCTGTGTGGCAGGACGCGCGAGCCACTCCAGAGCCGTGCAGACACTTCCCGCCCTGATTATTCCTAGTCATGCTGTTCAAATATTGATGTGATCCTTTGAGCTGTGTGTGTTAGTGCCATTTCCAGCCGCGTGGCACTTGAACAAATCCCGCGGCTCGAGCCACTCCGAAGAGCGTGGTTTGTACATTTCAGTCCGGCCCACTTGAGCACGAACTGGGAGTAATGGGAAAACTGCTCCCATAAATGTATGCAAATACAACGAGATCTTTTTACGCACATATGGTCAAGGTACAGGAGAGGAATATTCATCAATATAACATATTCTTTAGGATATGATATACATTTATGATTTGTATGTTTGTTTATTTCTTATTCTGTTAAAATAGGGCCTATATACAAGGGAAGGGAAGTTCGTGAAGCTACATTTTACTATAAAAAATGGCTGACAAGTTGTTTTACTATGGAGTCTTAATTTATATCCATGGCAATATTTCTTGGCCAAGGCCCAACTGCTTTTGAAGACTTGTACAAATATCACAACAAAAATGAATCTCTCTGTAAGACTGTGATATCAGACCTGTAATGGGCCACAAAGAATAAAATATATTCTACAAAAAGACAAAATGCCCAAATGGAGAGCTAGTGAAAAACAAGTGCAGTGCGCATGCCTTCCAGGGGATTTACATACATTTGACCAGACTGGAGCTTTACATACATTTGACCAGACTGGAGCTTGTCAACTTTAATCGCCACTGACTGGAGGTTGAGGCACCTTTCTATTTGCCGTATGTCGTTGGTAACTAGCTGCACATTGTGTAAATTTAGACTAACTGCCGGTGTGTTTTGTGTGTGGTGATGGGTAAAGGACAGATGTTAGCAGCTGTCTTACCTTCCAGTGGAAAGCCGGTTCGGGGGTAATTCTGGCCTGGCGCAGGACGCACCATTCGAGGCACTGTTCCCGGTAAAGTAGCCATTCGTCTTTAGCTACCCAGAAGCGTTTCGGGATATTGGTCCAAATAAACAAAAATATACAGAGTGTTCTCAAAATGCAGCGGTCAAATCCCCAATCCCTCGTAGTGACAGAACATAGAGCGAGCCCTCTTCCACCGGGCTGAACGAAATAAAGGAAAAATAGGAAATATAGAAGTCTCAACAAATGCAAATCGATATCTGCCCGTTTAGGCTCGATTAGAAATTGACGTTGGCGATGCACTTGACGCTAAACAGACCGGAGACGTAAAGCAGAACGTGCTGTTGTCGTTTCCTTGGTGTCGTTCGGGTTCAGTGTAACGTCTGCCTGCAGCCTGGAAGTAGTTTAAGTGGCCAACTTTGGTGCATGTCGTAGGAGGAGACACCGAGCGCTCCCATAGGCTCCCTGGCCTTTCTTTTATGGATGAAAGAGAGTGGGTTTAGCCAGGAGCCCGCGGACCAATCACAGCCACACGCTTCACTTTTAATTCACTGCTGCCTCCCTCTTAAAAACAACAAAACCCGGCACAGCATCGCGGTGGAAAAATATCACGCTTCTCAAACGCACAAGAACGCACGTCTAAACACAGCGGTCCCATAATGTACAGCCAAGTTATATATACTTTCTTTCAATTGAATATTTCCATCTCATTTTCATGCACACTAATTACACCGTTTTTGAGGTTTATTTAAAAACTCTTTCTAAGCTCCAAATATTGTTATAATTTCTATTCTATTTTATTGCATTCTGCTGACCTTTAGAGCTTGGCACAATGTTACTTATATGCTATTATGTGCAACATTTGGGAAATTATCTTGTATACAAAATGTGATATACAAATAAACTTGGACTGGGTTCTATTTTATTTTATTCTATTCTACTTTATTCGATATTATGAATAAAAATATAAACATATGTCAAATAATTTGTTTCTTGGGGACTCAATGTGCATTTACGCACAACTCTCTAAATTAATATAATCCATAACTCTGAAACAAATGCGTACTGAATCAATGCTTTGGCTCCTAACCCTGCGTAAAAGTTGCCAATTTTCTTATAGGACCCACTATAAGATGCCTGTGGCTTGTTAACCTGTTAATTAGGCCAAGTAAAAGTGCGCAGCGTGCGTCTAAATCGCTCCAAAAGGCTCTGCGACAATGACACGTCTTGGGATCGACCCGCTATTGATGACAACAGGTTGAGTTGCCCCGGTGGATAATTGCTTTAAGGTAATTGTTAGGAAATAAATAATGCTACACTATTAAAGTCCCATAAAAAGGGAGCACATATGGCAGAACAGACGAGGTGCATGTGTCAGCTCTGTGGGCCCGCCGCGCATTTAAAACCCTGTGACAATTGCCGTGGAAAACACTCCTGGTGGAAGGCAATTTCACAAATAATTTTAGCAACAATTAGGGAGTGTGGAGGGGTGAAATGGCGATTTCACATGCAGATGCGCCGGTGGGGAGGATCTGGTACCCTGCCGAATAGCTCTGACCCTCGCTCTGGCGCTGCACTGCGCTTCACATGGGACAGGGGCGCACAAAGACGCACGGCAGCCTCCTGGGAGGACGCACACAGCTCCGGATTAGGGCAGGCATCAATCACGTGGAAGCCTTGACAAAAGCAAAAGTCCTACAGAGAAAGCCTTCACATACATTAAGGTAAATATTTTCGAGTGTGTGAAGGCAACAGGCGTCAGAAATGCCAAAAATGCCAAATCAAAGAAACTGACAAACAAAGTTAAAAAGTGGTCCACTGCAAGTGAAACGGGATTTATGGATGTAAATATACGCGTGTAAAGAATCTGTTACGTACACATAAATTGTGTATTAGTCCTGTGAAGGTTTTTTTTTTTTTTTTTTTTTAATTGTTTAAAGAATAGAAAAGTGAGGACCATAGCATATTTAATGATGAGAAAACAAAAGCCACACATTTAAAATGAAATAGGCTTATACTTCAAGTATGAATATGAAATATGAATTTGAAACATAAAGTGAAGTTACACTGCAGGGGTCAAAGCAGATGTTTCTTATTGACTCTACTTTGATCAATTTCAATGCAAGACAGCTTTTTATTGGTTATGTGCCTGGCAATATACAATAAACAATGCAGTCTAGTCAAAACTCCTGTTGATAGTAAATATAACGTCTTAAATGACAACTATATGTGTCTAAATCTTCACAAAACAAAAAAGAAATTAATCACATGTATATACATTTAACCAACATTAAATCAAATGAAAAGAAAACATTTGCCCCAAAGCTGTGTCTGTTAGTTCCACTAGTGGGCGTCTTCTGCTTGTTACCACAAACCATTTATAAAGCTTTATAAAGTATCAAATTTGAGCATGCACATGTGAGTCTTGCAGTAATTGAAAAAGGAAGGTTTATTCTCGATACACAAACTTCAATGCATATTTAACCTAGATGTGTATTTCATTCCTGTAACATTTGTGAGTCAGTTTTTTAATCATAAAAATCCAGTATAGTCACATTTTTATTTCAACTAAAGCATAAGGACAATTAAAAATAACTAGTATACAAAACACTGGAAAAATAACAGCTGTACAAAACTCTACATAACACACATATATATTCAACAATTGTGATACAGGCTTCACTTTTGTCTCACTGTCTCTGGGTCTCTTCTCTGTGAGCCAGTGCAGATCATAGACCGTATGGTGCAGATATAAACAGCTCCATCTTGTAAATGATAAAGTCTGTATCTTATCTTGATCAGCTCCTCTCTTCAAACACTTCCTACACCGTGTTATGTAGATTACCCAAGTTTCTCTGCTGCTATAGGTGACACTTTCTCATCTGTGTGTGCCAGTTTTTTGTTTGTTTTTTTCTTCCCAGGTACAATGTTTATTTATTTCAGATCACAATGCACAAAGAAAAGACAAGAAAGAGATGAGGCACAAACCAGATCTGTGACGATATGAGTAAAGGTGTGGAATATAAAATAATGTTCAATGTTTTTTTGGATTCAACTAAAGCATAAACACTTCAGGGAGGAAAAAAACAAGTTAAAACTGTGCTGGCCTGACAGAAATTATTGTTAGGTGGCAAGAAAATAATAAGTAAATGAATGGATAGTAGGATATACTGACTCCACATGAGCTCCAAAGCAATTTTAATGCATTTTAATAATTTTTTTTTGTTTTGTTTTTTGTTTTTTTCAGACTAAATAATTCATAGCAATAATGTAGGCCCATATCATGCTATTTTCTCATCTTATAATGTTGTTTCATCATCAAAAAGTGGAGTTGTGCTTTGTTCCATTCACACATGTTTAACACACAAACCCTGCATATTTAGCGTGGGTTCTTCTCTCAAACAGAAAACACTCTGTTCCACCTTGTGATGTCATGTGAGAATACAGGAAGTGCATCACTGTGTTTTAAACTCCATGCACCTTCACTAGAATCATTTGGATAATTTCAGCCCCGCAATCTGTTGAACAAAAGGTAAAATGTAGCTGTTAATTTGAAAACTACCGCTTCATGACATCACAAGGTGGAACAGAGACAGACTAATAATGCAGGATTACTCAAACATGTGTGAATGAAACAAAACACAACTTCTAGTATGTTTTTGATGCACTAACAACATTATAAAATGACTTAAAGCTCACAAAAGTAAATGTTGTGTAATATAGGACCTTTAAGTATTGCATTTGTTCCACAATTATAGCTGCGTACCATGAGTAAAAAGTCAAGGTGTCACAAAAACATACACACAACCAAGATAACAGGTAATAAAATAAATTCATGTATAGTCACCTCTGTTTAAAAGTTAGCCGCTCAGCTCCTTTTTGATTGGCACCCTAAATATGTGCCTAAAGTGTCAAACCACTAGCACCACCGCTTCATAACAATTTAGAAATATCCTGTTGAGAAGGGGTTTCAAGACGCCCCTTTTTTGCCCTAACAGCGACAACTCCTGTCTTTGCCTTGTCCAAACATTTGCACATCTGCTCAGCATTTCTGCGCCAGTGTAATGACTTCCTTATGGGCATTATTCTATCATGATGGAGGGAGCGTATAAAATGCCCTTGTGTTGCCGGCCGGTGGGAAGCTTACACTGTGCTGTAGCTCTGATTAAAGAAAGGTGGTAGAGATTGTACATGGCACTCACAGGACGTGCAGGTGCGTTTGGTTAATGCAAAGAGTGGACTGTTTCTCTGTCTCCGCCCGGCTCAGACCTACATTAAAAACAAGTAACGTCGGCAGTTTGATAATGAGGTGAAAAAAGGACAGGACAGTCATATTAGACCTGTACACAATTTGAAAAAATTTAATTAAATGAAAATGAAAATTATGGCCTGAAAGTGATAAATGAATAGTCTTTTCTTTACCACAACTGAAAGTTTGCTGCGCTACCTGACGTACAACATGAACAGTTTTCACTTCCTCGTATTCAGATTCTGTGTAGTATCCTCTGGTTCATTACTGAGTCAGTTCTGCGGCTCCATTCATGCTTGTAATGGTTCCGACTTGTTTAAGGCCTGTTAAAGGTCCTATATTATACAAAATTGACTCTTGTGAGCTTTAAGCCATGTTATAATGTTGTCAATTCATCAAAAACATACCTGGAGTTGTGTTTTGTTTCATTCACACGTTTGAAAAATACTTTATTATCAAGGCTGTCTACATCTCCAAAGCTCAAAATGTTCTGTTCCACTTTGCGATGCCATGTAGTGATAGTTTTCAAATTACTGGCTTAAATATCGATATACCGTATCACTTAATTTGATGATACAGTATCAATATGGGCTGCTGTATCGATACATCACCAAAGGTATTTTTAGGTATATTTTACTGAATTATTTTGTGTAAGTGCCACAATTGTGTTCATATTTTCACTGTTTTGATGAGTAAAATGGGTGTTTTTCATATTACCTTTGTGCAAACTTAGTGGCCTGAGTAGACTTTTAGTACCACACCCATGATTTAGCCTTTTTGTCACTGAACTGTATAGAATCTATTTGAAATACATT